CTTTTCTGCAACATTATTTTTGTCTTTTGGCAAAGGTGCTGCTGCCTCTTGGCCAGAATCCTCCATCTCCCATCCGTCACCTGCTTGCAACAGAAAAAACAAACTAAGTTAAAACAAACTTAGGTGTAAATGGGATCAAGCACCATTGCTGTATTTGAATAGTTATCAATATTCTTCCAAACACCCATTTGTCCAAAACATTGTGGTATGCTTGTTATTAAGTTGATATAAGATTTGATCTTTGGTACTAAATGTAAATATCTTAGGAGAATCCCTTACCTACGGAGGCCATGTTCCTCTTGTTTTCCAGCATGACCTCTTGGTATAAGGCTTTTTGCTTAGAATTCAGCAGGGCCCACTCTTCCACGGAGAAAACCACAGCTACATCCTCAAATGATACCAAATCCTGACACAGGGAGAGGACAAAAATACAACATATTCCATGAACATTCCTAACTGTGAACACTTCCATGGATTACATGTACCATATTTTTCGGACTATAAGAGGCAAATTTTTAAAAAAGTAGGTAGATAGATAGAGGGATAGAGAGGGAGAGAAAGAAAGAGAAATACACTAGGTAGGTAGGTAGAGAGGGTAGGTAGATAGGTAAAAGGATAGGGAGAGAAATAGAGAGAGAGAAATACAATAGGTAGGTAGGGAGAGAGAGAGAGAGAGGGCTTGACCTTGGATATGTTGGCCAAAGCCAATACTGGGTTAATTTACCCTCTGCAGTGAGAGGATGAATCATGCCGAATGAAGGAAAGTGGGGTTCAACATTTAATTTCTGTGGAAAAGTAAATCTCCGACTTTACTTTTCACATTGGGCTTAGTATTAGTATCATTTCATAAAACCTTAGTAAGGCCACACCAGGAATACTGCATTCAGTTTTGGTCACCACGTTACAAACCTATGTTCAGGTTTTGGGGAAAAATGCAGAGAAGAGCAACTAAGATAATTGTCAATGTTTCGATATTTCAGAGGCTGCCACTAGGAAGAGAGGCTCAACTTATTTTTCAAAGCAGCAGAAGGCAGGACACGAAACGATGGATGAAAACTAATCATGGAGAAAAGCAACCCGGAATTAAGGAGAAACTTCCTGACAGTGAGAATAATTAACTAATGGAACAGTTTCCCTTCAGAAGTTTTGGACAGGAGGTTTTTTAAGGAGAGACTGGACACTCAGATGTCTGAAATGGTATCGACTGTGATGGCGAACCTATGGGACGCATGCCACAGGTGGCACGCAGAGCCATTTGTTAGGGTATGCGAGGCGTTGCCCTATCAGCTCAAGCGTGTGCTCACTTCGGCCTTCATTTTAGGCCGTTTTCTGCCCCCCGGAAGCTTCAGGAAAGCGACAGGAGGGCCTCCAGGGGGGAGCACTGGACCCTAGGAAGGGCGATAAATGGGTCCATCATGTGCCAAAAGTGGGGGGGGGACACATAGAATTATGGGTGTGGGCATACCCACACACAACCCCCCTGTACTCCCGCAACTTTTGGCACATGATGGGAAAAAGGTTAGCCATCACTGGTCTCCTGCTGGAAACAAGGGGATGGACTAGAAGATCTCCAAGATCCCTTCCAATTCTGTTATTCTGTTATTGGGAGATTGGCACATCTGGGGAGGGGAGGAGAGAATCCTCCTACCTGCATTGGAAGCTCAACCGCTGTTAATCCTCCATTACAAAGACCTGAGGTTCCGGGAGATGAAGACGAGGCCATGAGAGTGTCTAAAAGTGGGGGGAAAAACAGCAAAGGAATAATTTGTTAGCAAACATCCTAAGGATCTTCTTGAGCATGAAGTGCAGAAGGCTGATTTTAGCCCATTTCTAGGCTAACTAGGGAACCCCTTTACGTGAGTCCCTTGCAGCCACAGCAACAATACATAGAAGTTCACCCTGGGTGAGGGGAAAGCGGAAAGGTGAGGAAGAACCAAGGATTGGATTCAGAGGCAGCTCTCTTGGCCATGAATATATGCATTAAAGAACCACTGAGGTGAACTCTGGATGCCTCAAGCAGATCCCCTCCCATATCCAGGCAGTTCTGCTGAGTTGTTAATCAGGAATAAAAGCCCTGGCCTGGCACCAACAAAGAGACTCAGTCCTATTCACTTTCAAATTCTCTATCACCTTTCGAGATACAAGATATAGGTCTTAATTTCAGCCATTTCAAGGTAAGAATCTTGATCACCAGAATCCTGACTAAGATGCTCCTTCACTGGAGGCTGTTAAGAAAAGACTGGATAGCCAATTGTCTCAAATGGTATAAATCTCCTCAAGCAGGGGGTTGGACTAGAAGACCTTCAAAGTCCCTTCCAACTCTGTTATTCTATGTTTCTATAATGTCCGCCTTCCCTTATAAGTAAGGGAAGAGGACAGAAACACTTTTTCACAGCTGGGACATGCCGTTTGGAATAGCCTACTGTAAAAATGAAAGAGTATAGACCTTTAATGGCTGTTGGACTTCAACTCCCAGAATACCTGACAGAGATGGCTCAGGAATTCTGGGAGTTGAAGTCCACACATCATAAAGTTGCCCTTAGTAAAGACGATACCTTTTTTAAATACACACAAGACTAAGAACGCACTTAAATTGAACAATGACAACGAATTCAGGGATGAAAGAAACGAGGGCAAAGAGATTAAAGGGCATCACAAGGAGCCTTTACCCGATGCTCTCTCCGGAGGAGGCTCGTCCAGAGCAACTCCCCGAAACAACATCACCCGGAAGGGATCGCCCCCTTTTCTCCCCGCCGGCTTTGCAGCCATTGAACTCCAAGCCTCCCGGATATGAAACAGAGCAGAGAAAGGAAGTGAAACGATCTGGAAGGGCCAGGAAAATAATAATAATAATA